CTTCATGGTAATTAAATGTACACACGCGCGCGCGCGCAGTCCGAACCGTTAATAAACGATTCGTTTTATTAATCGTTATCATTCATTAGGCACGATTTAAAAATGAGTATTCCTGCAATATTATCGATGAATTTTTATCAAATACCAATGGTTGGTGCAGACATCTGCGGATTCAATGGGAATGCAACAGCTGAGTTATGCAATCGTTGGATGCAACTTGGTGCTTTCTATCCTTTCTCTCGTAACCATAATTCCGACGATACAACCGTTTGTATCGTTGCTCATTTGAAAATTTTTTAATCATATTCAGACATTGTATTGGATACTATGTATGCATGTATGCGTAGGAGCAAGATCCAGTTGCTATGGGTGAATTAGTGGTGCAATCATCGAGACGTGCTCTTACAATACGATACTGGTTTCTACCGTATTTGTACACTTTATTTTTCCGAGCCCACAAATTTGGAGAGACTGTAGCGCGGCCATTATTTTTCGAGTAGGTGTTGCAATCAGAATTTCTGTTTGAGAGTGTTTATAAGAACTTCTTTTCCTTTTAGATTTCTTGATGACCCAGCCACGTACGATATCGACACGCAGTTCCTATGGGGACGTTCTTTGATGATCGTTCCAGTTTTAAAAGAAGTAAGTTGCAGCTAGTGACGTTCGTAAACGACTTGTTCGTAAACTTATCCATGGTTTCATATGTTATCGTTAGAATGAAGTAAACGTAACGGCTTATTTGCCGCGCGGATTATGGTATGATTTTTATACGAAAAAAGCTGAATTCGCACGTGGCGAATATACCACGTTAGATGCGCCACTCGATATCATACCGTTAATGATCCGTGGAGGATCTATTTTGCCAGGTCAGAAACCGGGTCCAACTACAACGGACAGTAGGAAAAATGGTTTCGAGCTATTAATTACATTGGATAAATATAAGAAGGCAAAAGGAGAATTATACTGGGATGACGGAGATAGTTTAGGTATCCCAACTTATTTAATTTATGTCATATTCTAATATGAAAGACATGCAAAATCAGTTTTTATTTTCGGTGATCATTTGTAGACTCGATCAAAAAAGGCCAATTTTTGTGGATGTCCTTCGCTGTCGAGAACAATACTCTGTCCAATTTTAGAGCTAAGGAAGGTACATATAACGAGAGGATCCTTCTTGACGTGATATATATATGGGGAGTAACGTCCGAGGTCTCAACAGTTGTTTTGAACGGTCGTCAGATAAGTTTCGAATATAATGATCAACAAAGTGTGAGTGAAATTTCCTCTAACATTTCCTTTTACAACACCGATGCATGGATGATTTTATCACGAAATTTTTCAGTGTATGACCATGACAAATCTACAAATGGATCTAAGACTAAAGTTTATACTTTATTGGAAGTAATTAATCAACGACTGATGATTGTGAAAAACATTGTTTTAACACTATTTTAAACTGCTAATGTACGCGATTCAAGGATGTTATTTTTTAGAGGCAATAATATAAAATATAATCTCCATTTGTCTCGAATACAATTTTTGTTACTACAATATATACAATATATACGTGTATATGCATATTTCTATCCGTTAAAATAAATATTTGATATAAAGAAAAATCTTTTTTATTCGAATCACTGCTTCGTCGTATAGTACAATATACAGTACGGCATTGATTACGCAATATTTATGGCACTAATGAAAAACAATAAATAGAAATTTGAATCTTTCGATAATGCGTTGAATGGAAAAAGAACGAAAGGGAAACGCCTAACGTAAATGTTCAGGAACACTCGTTCCTAATCGCCACGTGAGTGACTGCGAAAGATAACACAGATAGATACAATGCGATCGTTCACGCGACATTGGCAGCGTTGACCAAGAATTTTTGTTTTGCTTTGTTTAACTTTGGCACCGTAACTTAAAAGTAACTCGAAAACCTCAAGCGCTGTCGTCGAAACATCGAAATCTGTCTCGAGAAAAAACGAAATAATAGATCAGTTATTCAATGTTTTTTTTTACCCGGAGGAGAATTTTGCACGTCTTTAGTTCCTTCTTTTTTCTGTCCCAACCTCGAACAACTGAATGCGCGCGATGTCTCCTTTGACCTCGATCTATATTCTACATTCTGTATTCAATGTCCCACGACCCTTGTTTGCATTTCTGCGTTGGACAGGAGAGTAGATTTCGATCTTTCGAATAAATTTCGAAACAATATGTCACCGTTCGCATCGATACACACTTCTGTCGAGGCTTGGCTACCCACGTAAATTCTCGTCACAGACGCGTTATAGAACAAATCATAACACATCTGCGTACATTCGACGAGAACCTCAAACTACATCAACTTTTCGCCGCTATTTCACAACGAAATTGCTATTCTTTGGATTTCAGTAAACATCGTTCCACGATTATATATAAGACACCGGTTGTAAACGACAAACATAACATTCAAAACATTCGACACAGAGACGGACAAAATGATTATCTAGATAGAAATTTCAAATAACGAATAAAAGAATAAAGTATTCTACAACGAAAAAAATAAAAGTATAACTTGCCGATCAAACAAAATTTTGCCCACCTCTGGTCCACTTTGATTTTCGAAATTTCGACGTTAAGGTAATATTCGAAATGTTTGCGCAGTACAAAATAGCACCCTGCTGAACCTTCTACAGAATTAAAACGTTTTTAACGAATTAAACATATTACGCGTTATAATAGAAAACGCATTAACGTATTTTTTTCTAATTTTTCGTACGTCAAACATATCGCACATAATATAACGTATATTCATAATGTGTATATGGATATATATATACATATAATATATATATATGTGTGTGTATATATATATATATATTGTATATATCTTTTCTCAATGACTAATATATATCTATCTCGCAACCTTGTTCATTATTGTCTGCTCACATTTACTTACACCTATCTAAAGGATGTCGCGTTTCATTTGAGCAACGCGTACGAGCAATTAAACGTACAATACGGCAAAACACGCGAATGCGTACCGAGGTCAGATAACGAATAACCATGTCAACTATAATAGAAGCGGAGCGAGGGTAAGGTCTTTCGGCATCGAAGTCTCCATTCTCACTGTACAACGAATGAAGATTCCGTGAACACAACACGGAATTCGCGCATCGCTTTTCATACATGTACCAAGTTCCACAGAAATGCTTTGCAAAGTTTAGAGCGTATAATATTTTTGTTTCGGCGTGTATGACACACACCACAATCTCACTAAATTATATTTGTAAACATAAGCTTCCTTGCAATTTCGACAAAAAATAAAATGAATGGCGTCACGTTAACATTTCTTGGCAACTTGATACATGTCTGCGCACATGAACGAAGTGCGATAACATTTAACTAAAAGAATAAATTGCAACAAAATGGCAATCCTAGGATCGCGTTTAGCCTCTTCAATTTTCGTAAAGGACCGTCTAAGAACCTAAGCAACTATACGCTAAAGTGTGCAATTATAATGACGTTTCAATGACACTGTGTGCACTCGCATGCATAGATATACGCTAATAAATATGGCAAGAAGTTTCTTATGGTTTTCCGTTTTTCGCGCACTTTTACGTCCAAAATATACCTCTTTTTCTCCTATACTAAATTTAAAAAGGCAAAGAACGTACGGTTGAATAGATCGAAACGAGACTCGATACATTCTATCGTTAATCTAGTCGCAGGTCGTGTTTTTTTTTTTTTTTTTTTTTTTAATTATCCCATTTCAATAAGTACCGTACGTTCTTTCGCATATCACGAGCAACATATATTTCCTATGTAACAACGTAAATAACGCACACTCTTTGATATTGTAATGCGGCAAGTACAATGACAATGACACATGGCACTCGTGGGGTGGGGAAAACATTCGAACGCGTTTCTAATCTTTTCAGAGATGAATCACTTGAAACGAACAAATATTCAAATCGATATCTTAAATATTTCTTCAATTTGAAAAAGTGTATACGGCGACATGACTCGAGTGCTAGGCTCTGTGTCACGATAATACTTATGCGACTCGACAAATAACAAAAAACGGAACATTCCGTAAAAAATAATACCTCAAAAGTTGCACGTAAACCCCGCGTCTGCCATCAGTGCTTCATACTTTGCGGAACAGTAATTGGTTTTCAACACGTTTCTTCTTAGATGTATCAGGAGCCACAGACGTAAGGATTTATGATGATGATTTCATCGCGAATTGTTCTTACATCGGTAAATATTATCTAAAAGTATCATGGTTCGCTTGACCGTAAAAAGAAATATACACAAGTCTCAACACCGATAGCGAACAGAGACTTTTTCCTATGACATTGTAAATGTCTAACCTGTCGTCGAAACGTGTACAATGTCAGATTTAACGGCGGCGTCTGCACTTGCCATCTAACGCGACTACGCCACACACGTGTAAACAACCCCCAAACAAATGTAGCGGTAATTACAAAGTAGCTAGGAATAATTGTCTAGGACAATTGAATTAATCGTTTATATCGCACTGCATTGATCGACACGAGTGGTGGTCATCAGTCTTGAATAGTATTTCCCTATTAACTAAAGTAATAAAAAGAAGAGAACTTGTGAAAGATAACGAAGAAGATTGATTTAGGCCATTTTCCTAATCGGCAGCATAAATCATCACATTTATGGCCCCCACATGTCGAATCGATCTCTCCATCAATTTGCACACGAGGCATTCTTGGATTTAAATGATAAATCAGTCGATCTCTCTTAACTAACGCACCTTAAGAATGATAGAGTCGGAGGAGAGAAAGAAGTTGTTTCAATGTTTTCATAGACATCGCGTTTATGCACTTTGGACTAGCAAATATCGATGTTAAACTAAACGAAATTCTATGAAATGTTATCGATATCGATTATTCCTCCGAATAAATTATACGACGTTTCTCGAAGTTTGTTACGGGACGACCGGACGACTTCCGCGGATACTCGGTTCCACTGATTTTTCGAGGAGCAGTTGAAACGATTCTTTGACGATCAAAGCCCAATCTTTTGCTTAGGTAGCAGTAAGAGTTTCTAAGATATCTTCGGGAGTTTTATTCAGCCTACAAAAGTTCTCCCAGTGTTCCTTGGGCACTGTCCATTTCAGGAATATCTCGAGATTTCTGGTAAGAGTCTCCAGTTCCGTGAGCCCGTCACGGACGACCGGATCCTTGCCAGCGGATATCAGGGAGTCGTGAAGAACCTCGTCAATCAACCTTTTCCCAAAGCCTAGTTCGTCTAGCCTCTCCTGCTTGCTGATCCTCTTCAACAATACAGCGAGTAACAGTCTCATCCTTTCCACAGTCATCACTCGGTACTTGGAAGGCGGTAGGGAGGGTTTGTCCATGATTTCGTTGAGGATAGTTTCCGAGTTGCTGGATCCATCCAGATTGCTCGAGCCTAACTCCGGATGACAAGTTTTTTCGTGGCATTCGAGGTCGTTTTTGATCCTGAAGAAACTCTTGCATCGTTTGCAAGCATAGGGCTCGTTTCTGCCATGGATACACTTCATGTGCTTCTTCCAATGAGGTAGCTGAGTGAAACCAGCGTTGCACTCGGCGCACTTGAAGGGTCTTTCCCCGGTGTGTCTCCTAGTGTGTAGCTTGAGGGCCGTCGAGTGAGCGAACGCCTGCCAGCAGACGAGACACCTGAACGGTCTCTGTCCAGAGTGTGTCCTCTGGTGAACGGTCAGCTGGGATTTTTGCGCAAATCTCTGGCCGCAAGTGGCGCATCCATGGGGTCTATCGCGAGCGTGAGTCCTCATGTGCTGAGGCAGATGGCCTTTGAACGTTTTGTTGCAGATGACGCACAAGAAGGATTTTACGTCTCTGTGAAGGCATTCTAGGTGTTTCTTCAATGCATCCCGTCGAACGAATGCTCGGCCACAGATCTCGCATTTATGATCCTTCTGACCGTTGTGGCGTTTCACGTGAAGCGCCAAGTTTGCTGCACAGGTGAACGTGCCTGAACACAGACCGCAACGGTAAGGCTTTACCTGGCTGTGAGTGCGTCGATGTTGCACCAGCTGGCCACCTCTGGCGAAGCTCTTATCGCACTCTGGGCACTTGTACGGCTTGAAGCCGGTGTGAGTCCTCACGTGAAGCTTCAGCCTCTCCTTCAGAGGGAACTCTTTTCCACATTCGTCGCATTTGAAAATCGGTCCTGCTCCGTGCACGATCTTATAATGATTACGGAGTCCTCCGCTACCTTTGAATCGTGCCTCGCAGACCACGCAACAGTATTTCTTTTCCTCGTACTCGGTACAGTTGGACAATGCCTCGTCCTCGTCAACGTCGATGTTGTCAACTTCTGTTTCGATGTATTCCTTCCTGGATAATTCGCTACTCGTGTCCAGGCTCAACGAATTTACGCACATGTCGCGAACCTTCTCTCTGGCCGAACGCAACACGTTGTTGTTTTCGCCTTCGAGAAGGTAGTTGGCCTCGATGATCGCCTCGATGCTTAAACAGGACTTTTCTTCCGTGGGATCTTCCTGGTCGTCGATCTCTTCTTGAGAAGGCATATGTTCGAATAACGCGACATTGGTGCTCGTGGGATAATCGTTTCGAGCGTTGGGGTACAAAGGTTCACGTCTAAATACGTAAATCTCGTCGCTGAAATCCTTGCTTCTGTCGAAATCCAGATACGCTTTATCCTCGCAGTCCAGTAAGGTCCTCTTCTTTTCTCCGAACCCATTCCCCCCGTTTCCTTCTCCTTGCTCTCTGCTAACGAATTTCTTCTTTCGGGACTTTGCCCGAGGGACGGTCTTTCTACCGATACCCTTCCGTTTCCGTTTAATCGCTTCGCCCTCGAACGTCCGATCCTCCATCTTCTCTTTCCCCTCGTGAGGTTTCCCTTGCGACTGTTTGTCATTTCCTTGCTTTCGTTGCCGCTCGATCTTCCCGCAAAACGTGAAATTCCGCAGCTGGAACTCTTGGTCATCCTCGATGCAACCATCGGTGGCAAATCTCCGTAGCACTTTTAAAGCGTCTGTTGCATCCTCGGGATTCGCGTCTCTGTCTAAATTTCCGTTCAAGTTTGCATTTGAATCTTCGAAGACAACGTTTTCCCTAATGCGCGAGTGTTTCACAGGCAACAGTTCCGTCAGCTCGACTTGCTCGCGTGTTTCAGAAGCAGCCGTTTCAGTTAAAACGGTTTGCTGCAGATTAAGCGCGGCCATTTGCCCTTTATTGTCTTCCTCGGTCCAGACACAGCCTTGGAGTCTCTCAGGCTCGAGAGATTTCGATGCTCGACGCCATTTGTCACGTGTAGAGCGATACTGGAACCGATCGTGAATTTCGGTCGGACCAGGCTGATCGTATCACCTTGGATCAAGTTCCAGGTTTATCTTTTATCGGCACGGTGTTTGAGGAAAAGGAATCGGTAACGTTGAAGGGAGTTGTTAGTCAGCGACGGAGACACGTAAGCAAGCTACGCTCCGGTTATCGGACACTTATCTATCCGATAGTCTCTCCAACGCTGTCTTTTTTTCTTGCTACGCTGGCATTTCCTTTTTCTCTCTCGCCACGATTCTTATGCACGATTTCTCGAGCAGATTTGCCCTGTAATCGCGTTGAACTCCACCCGAGAAATTCGCGATCATTCCTGTCAGCTTCTGGAGCCGTTGGTCGAATTACCTTCCCGTGGAGGATGAAACTGGGATAGAGTCGGTGAACGATTGGAGAGAAGGAGTCGAAAGACGCCGAAGGCACGACGAATCAATCGTTTCTCCCTTTGGCAGGTAGTTTGGTTCTCCAAACGCTTCTCGCCTACGATTTCGACGCACGGTACGCTTACCAGCAATGATTCTCCCGTCTTGCGTGCTGCTGCCTTCCCGGAAATACGAGGACGGTTCGTGCGCGCATTGGAATCACCGAGAAGGGCTAGAAGGATACCGGAAGTTGGAGCGAAAGTGTCGTGTTCGATGAATACGCGCTGGGTTTCCACGCGCGACGGGCGACGAATCGAGCTGAACCGTGGCGCTCGTGATGCGGCAAGAGCAATTTTCTTTTTCGGGCGAAACGATCGAACGTTGAAGGTGCAAGAAGAGGATTGGTCGTGGGATAACGAGTCTGTCGATAAAAAGGGACGACAGAACGGCGTTTCTCCGTGCTCGTCGCCGCGACGATCGACCGACTGCGAGAGCTTCCTCTTCCTCGCGACGATACGAAACGTCGTTTCCTCGACGGCGATTGCGCGCCTTTTTCCACGCAAGCGCAATTCGCGGTCGATATCGGTCTGATTTCACCCCCTACACCCCTGCACACCCTGCTGCCCTGCTGCCCTGCCGGCGACGGCAGACTCTTTCTATACCCCTTTCGTTCTACCGACCCTCCTGCCTGCGTTTCGTCTGCGACCTCTCACCTTTCTCCCCTGCGACTCTATCATTCGCTACTACCACCGCCTCCGATTCTGCACGCGCCTCACCAATCCTCATTATTCCTCTTCTATTATTGTTTTGAATTTCTTCAAATACCGGGACAGCGATCGATCAATTTCAGGTTAAAAGACCAGGTGTTTCAATCATCGTTATCGGAAATAAAATTCTACCCAAGGATAGTTGAACATGAGATGTTTCATTCTTTTTTCTTTTATTTTCTTTCTTCTTTTTGTTCGACAAAGTACCGTGTCATTTCTGGATGTTTTAAACAACGATACCTAACTTACAAATTTCAAATACGTGAGATCAATTATTTGACGAGAATCGAGCATCCCCAAGTTGAATTAGACCGTTGACCCAGCCTCGTAACGCAACGATAATACCGGCCAAGATCGACTCGACTTAAAGCTTCATTAAACGGTTCTTTGGTTACTTGATTTGCCTTTGGTAATTGCGACGCAGTACAAGCATTGTTACAGACATTGTTATATCATAGACACGCACCTAACCCAGGCCGATTCGTTCGAAACTTGTTCAAGGTTTACGTGGCGCTTCGACGACAGAATCTCAACGAGATTCATGATACGATCCACTTACTTATCGCACTCCTATATTTACACTTTGACGTTTCGAGTTCATCGTATAATCTCCCCTTATCTTGGTCGCGTCATAATTTCCTCTTTAAGGAGTCCCTTTCTTTCCTGACTAGACTGCCTTCGAGCTCGAAAACGAGAACGCCTCTTGGTTATTTGCAATTTCGCGACCTAGTTTCTTTCACGAAAATAACATAATACGCACATATGCGATGCGTGTGATATATCGATACAATTTTACTCTCGCCTGGATTAGTAAGCTGTGTTAGTAGCCTTAGCCTTTCCCATCTGTGAATCGCTCTCTTGATTAGTGAAAAGCGAAGAACCCGCCACCATCTGAAAGAAACGAGAAATACCGAAGGCATTTCTTTGCTGTCTTTAATCTACCTGTCTACCGACACTCGTCAACCGATTTCGAAATTGAAAAGTACGCGCGCAACGCTTATCCATTTTGTCGATTAATTAACAGACGCGGTTAGCTCATGGACGCTGTCAACCCTGTGAGAACTGCATCGATTCGCGATAATATTTTTCTCAACAACACAACCCAGTCCATTTCAAAATAAAAATTGTAAAATATCCCAAGTTTACTCACTCTTCATCAGTCGACCCAAACATCGATCGTTTCCGAGCATTTGCATCGCGCGCGATTGAAAGCTCGTACGCGTTACGTGATTCGATCTTTAACCGCGTTGATCAATTTCTGGTATCATCGCCATTCGCGTTCCCATTACACTCGATTCTTTTTTCCCACGTCTCTAGCACAAATGTTTCTCGCATCTTAAAATGATCTGGATCTCGGATGGTCGAATTGTGAGCCGTAGAAACATTGTTTACGCGACACAGCCTCGAAAAAGATTGGCAAAAAAGACACGAGTCTATAACGTGGGGCACTTATCCGTACGAGCCTTTCGATAAAATACATTTTAAAAATGTCTAGGATAGTTGTCTATTCCTCTGAAAACGAACTCTAAGCGGAGATTTAAGCTCGCGCACTGTTAACTGTGAGCGCCTCACTCATGCACAGATTAAGCTCTCGCGAATACAGGCGCGTTTACGTGTGTGCGTCCATGAAGATTGTTGGCCGTGATACACGCGCGCACAAGCTTACTATAGACCTTGCGGTCTCGTTTTGTCGCGACGTGATACACGTTTGTGCGCATTGAACTTCCCAGTCTCGAAAGAGACGGGTCCGTACGTATCGCCAGATTCTGTCGGTTCGACCGGTGCAAATTTCCCGCCATTTCGACGTCCTTCGGGGTGACAGGTCCGTAAAACCAATCCACGTTATCGTGCAATCTGTCGCGACAATAGAATTTTTACTCACCAAACACGGGATGGCTCGAAATTCCAGCTATCACGACGAGGAAAAGGCTTCCTTGCGAAGCGTCCGCTCAACCCTACCCTCGTATCGCCATCTTCGAACCACGTTCGACTCTGCCGATGATATTCACGGACCGTGTAGAGGGGCGAAGTAATCGTCATAAAACATCGTACCATCTTTTCCTGAGAGATGGCGCGCGAAACGCCAACAAAACATCATTTACGGCATGCTACACATTAACATTTCAACATTTTAGCTCAAACATTATTTTTTTTGTACAATCTTAAACTTCCTGTACATATTTTAATTGCAAAAATAACTTGGAATGCTACGATCGAGAAAAAGTTGGTTCTTGGTTGTTCCGTTCGTAAAAAAGCTCGTTTTACTTTTCGAAACTTTTGTGACTCGATTCTGTACTTAAAAAGTGATCGCAGTTTACTTGTGTATTCGATAAAGACACACCATCGTTAAATTGATCCTAGATGATTTTTTTGAAGCAAGTGCCGTTAGTCGATATAATAGATATCTCCATAAAGTGTTAACAGCCACGCCCCAAACTCTTGGTTCACGGTAATGTTCATTGGAACGTATCTACAAATTATATATTTACAGCGTTACGAGCTGCACATAAACGTCGATTGTTGACGCTTGCCTTTTATCGTTGACGCACATCAACGGAAAACATAAATCGTTCCCCTTTCAAGCAATATTAGACCTGAGGCTGGTCTAGTGTCGAAAAAAAGGAAAATTGACTTAAAAAAAACTTGTATAGTGGTAATTTCAATCGGTAATCATGAGTTAATTTCGTGAGCTAACAAACGAGAGATAAATAATCACAACGTGTTCATTTGTTCTATATCAGAGTTGAAGTAGAGAAGATTCTGTATTAAAGAAATGAAGTATGGACATTAGCAATGTAATCGCTTATTTGTTATACTACAGTCTCGTATAAATTGTCGAATCACTCGTTGCACTAAGTCAGTGACTTCAATGCTTCCAAAATAACAGCTTGTATAGCAGAATTTAAAACGAATGAAGCGACATAGTAAGTATAATTAGATGTGTATGTCTCCTTAAATCTCTTATGCAAATGAGGATGAAAGGTATCTTTTTTGGCAAAATATACAGTTTCGTTTTATACATATACAACGACGATCGTCTGACAAAGATGACGTTTTGCAATTGAATGCTGATCATAAATCGAAGCTTTTGTCAATTCTCTCCAGATGGTAGTACTGTAACAACACTTCTTACGAATCTGTGTATATGTATGCATTATATCATTTGCCTATTTATATTCGTCGCATTATATCCTACAAAATTTCTAACCAGTTACTCGAGTGGAAAAGTTGTGAGTGACTTTTTTTAAACATAGTTGGACATACGCGTATCTAGCAGAAGTTTCTTTATTTAGATAAACCTTTTCTTCGAATAAATATTTGTTCATTATGTAGATACAAACACATGCATAAAGGATTGTTTTCTCATTTACGTAATGAATGAATTTGCTCGTTATTCAAAAAAAAAAAAAGTTATTTAAATAACAAATCAAGAGGAACGAATAAACGAATGCTTTTCGTTAGGAGTCTCAGTCTCGAAATCTAATATTTATTCGTATTTTTCTCTCGAATCGAAAAAAACAATTACCGTTCGCGATAAAATAAGATGTTCAATAAGTTATCAAAGAAAAATAGTCAATGTTTATTATTTGTTTGAAAGTTAATCTTGTTTCCCGTATCGATAAACGACGAAAATTTTCCATATTTTGTTGATAAATATATCGAATGTTTAAATATTAATAATTTTTGAGAAGGGAACGATGGCTTCGAAGCGTGGAGCGACGCCATGTTACCGTGAGAGCCGAGCAGCGGCGGAAACGTACGAAGTGGGTTCGTACGAGGTAAAGTGCAAACACGACTGGCAGTGCGAACGGTACGGACGGCACGGACAGTACGAGCGAGTGTAACGAGGGAGCGTGACCGCTGCGGTCTATCCGATCTTGTTGAATTTTTGCTCAGCTGTCACTCGGATCGTCCTACTCTCTCCCTCTCGCTCTCTCGACTGTGAAAGCGTGGTTCGTGGTTCGTGGTTCGTGAGTGACGCGCCTACCAGGATCACGTCTTCTCTATCTGTCTCGAACGTTTTTCTTTTCCGCTTGTTCGCGTCTTCCTTTCAATTTTTCTTTGTCTCTCTCTCGGATTCGTAACCGTACGCTCGATAATACCGTGTGTTCTCTTACGTGGACGACAACGTCGAAACGAGGACGTCGTCGGCTGACGACGCACTCTCTTTGTTGACGTTTTGTTGTCGATCGACCGTATCGTGTGTGTGCCACCAGTTGCGTGTTGCATAACTACGATTTTACGACGGCTGGCTCCTTTCGTCAGGTTCAACAATCGACGCAGCATCTTTTTGCCGGCAAAATTGAACTTGTCTACATCAACGATCTACTCGACGACACTGGTAAGTGTTTTACTTTCATACAGTGTCACGTTGACATATCGAATGGTTGTCAATCATTTTTCACGAAGCGCCAATATTTAGGCGGGAGTATAGAACCACTCGATCTATATTGCGCGAATATTTGAAACCGATATCGAGATTTAGGTTAGTTTAGCGACAGATGTCGTTTATTCGTGCGTGTACGTATTTCGTAATACATTAAAGAAAGAGATTGTAAATCAAATTATCCGTATTTATTTTTTGCTTAGTTTGGACTTTGGAAGAACGTCGTGTGAGTATCTGTCTCTGAAAAAACTGTTCTAAATTGCAGCTAGACGCGCTTACGTAAAGTTATGTCGTTTGTTATTAATTTTGCTTTCACGGACCTGCAAAATTTGCCAAGATTCGATGAAATTTATTTACACTCACCGTTTACCCCTGATACACGTGAAATTCTTTAGATGGATGTTCCACTCTTTATTTAGAAGTTTCACCTAGAGAACCATTTACTCAATTTAGCAGTAAACAATATACATATATGTTAGGAGAATACGAAAATTGTCTGAATCTTCTGCCCTTGATACTGCTCGCTAGTTTCTGTTTACAAGTTAAGGGAAGAGCGTTAACGTTCCGAGTTACATTCGCATGTTTTATTCCGCGCTCGTAAAAAGTATGCAAAGCCTGTGACACGCGACTAACCTCAAGGAAAATACTGTACGCACACGTGCGCAAAACAGGAGCAAAGTCGCGCCGTTGTGTGTACATACAACTCGCACAATTTGTGGACGGTGAAGCGTATGATCCAATCCGGAGTACGTAAAGGGTACTCTCGTCGCGACGCGTCGCGTCCCCACCCGTCGTCTTTCCTGACTGTAACGCTACTTGAATATGCAACGTGTGTTCCTTCATCGACACGAAATTATTCACCGATCACTCCTTTTCTGTTCGTCTGTACGTATTATGCTTTATCTTCATTCACCCTTTATTCGACGCAGCTGGACACTTTCTGCTCCAATGCAAACTCTAATTCGATATGACTGATCGTAACTCGCATTCCGGAAGTGAAGGATATCGAGCGTAGAAATCGTGTTTGTATTTAAATTAGAATAATCGACTGCAAGAACCGATGGCGTAGATCGCGCAAATTACGTTACATGTTCTGACGAAAGAATCATTTGCGTGCGATGCTTGTTAAAAAAAAAAGCAACATCACGCTGCACGTCAGGTGACAATATGCGCGTGGATGACCACAATAAATGAACGTTCGCTTATTCTCTGTTCTCTGCATATGTATAAGTGTAGCACAAGCGTAATTAGTAAGCGCGCCAATCAATTACCTGCGAGTACACGAATCATGGTCAACAAGGTATCAGGAATATGTAGTTTTGAAAATGCGTATTGTAATTGTAATCCACAGGAGGTCAAGAGAAGATCCTTAATCTTTTAAGAAAAAGTACTTCAATTCCCAATAGTAGAAGAATAAGTACACCGATCGGGAATAGCGTACAAGGGAAGAAATAAACTTCATCGAATGTATAGTTAGCCTCCCTGTGGCTAAGAAAATAAAAAGCAACGATTAAATAAATCTAACGTGCCGCGACGACTTGGTAATGCTCCCATGTGCCATCGACGAGTTCACAATAAATCTCGGTGGCAGGAATGTACGCATGCAGCAGGTACCAACAGCGCGAGCTTAACGGACCTGGCTCCTTTTAGTCGTACTCGAGGAGCCATAACTTCCGTTAATTTGACAATTAATTAACGATCGTCGGATCGATTCTATGCTCGAACACGTACTTCCGTAATTGACTTTTTCCTCATCTCAACTTATTCCACGGTACAGTTTGCTTTGCTAATTGTCGCTGGTCCATTACTCGATTCTTATTGCCCGCATCGCATTAAGTTTCGCATTAATACCTCGGATATCGATAGTTTGTTGCAACGATTCGCAATCAGAAATTACTCCTACCACTGTTTATGTTTCTTTGACTCGAGCGGACGACAGCTGTGAAAACAAAACTTGGCTCACCGACCTTCATTCTATTATATCCCATTCTTCGAGTTAATGACCCCGATCTTTCAATACCGTCGCACTACACTGTATTTACATCGGTATCCCTTCCAAAAATAGTTTCTTTTCATCGCTCGTAAACATTTTCTACCGTGTCTCCTATCGCCAAATAACACGTACACGTACGCGAATGAGTTATCACTGATGGAAAAGAAACTACCTCTTTGCAAGATTCCAGCATATCTTCGTTAATTTATGGGACGATGCTTCGCATCCTCGTTGCCACTTGCGAGAGGAGACACGAAACGCGTGCATTACGCACACCTTGTAAAACTATGATCGGCTGCAGCGTGTACGCCGACTAATAAGAATGTCGATTAATTCCACGTTGATTTCTATTTTTATCCTACCTGACGTATAAATAAAAGCCACGCAAGCGGTTCTTGAACCGGTGGGTGTGTGTTGAAGAGTTGAACTTGAAGTACGCTATCTCTGTCTCGCTGCGTCACGATCGCATGTGATTTTTGTACAAGTTTCATCCGTGATATTTACACACGTATTGAAAGAACGATCGGTGATTGCACAAGTGAAGTATTCGGATAAGAAAAGAATTCACTTGTTCGCAATCGATCGGATCCCTTTAATTGGTCACTCGTTTTTCTGTTAAACGCAACGGCCGCGCTTCTTCTAGCCAGCGTTAACAAACGATAGCCATCGCTCGAAGGATTAGCGCCGCTCCTCCGTTAATTAAGCTTGTATCATGGAATCTCGGCATGGTCGGAATTAACGGCGAATTTCTGTTAGGCAAGAAACCCTCTTGAAGTAGGATGCGTTCGGTATTGAACGAAACTGTCTGCTACAGGTTTAGAACAGTGTCGACTCAACCGCGAGGAAAGTGCATCTTCTTGATATCTGTATCGCACGATTTACGCGCTCAACCTCCGCAGCGACGAATTAATTAGCTCGAAACTCGAATTCGTTGTTTACAAAACTTTAATTTCCGGAATCCGTCAAGGATTGAGAGTCACTGTTCGCATGAGTTTCATTAATCTGACCGCGCCTGGAGCCTCGTCTTGTATCTTGCCTACGTGTGCACGGTATCGCGCGTTTTGTTGTACCACGTGTACGTGCATTTAAATACACGCGCACGCGCGCACACGAGCTCGCTTGCCCACAGACACGGGCACGTCTTGCCCCGCAACCACCGAGCCATCTTTGCATGTATTTGCACGCGAGATCCTTACTCGCTCGCACGTTTTTTTTTTCTTCGTTTCTCTGCTTCTTCTTCCCTTTAATTTTTCTTTTTCGCGCCACGCTGCTCCTTTTTCTATCGTTTTCTCTCGTTCGCGCCACCTCTCGGAGTTTCTTGAATTCGCGGATTGGTTTTCAATCACTGTATCCATTTAATCCGTTTGCTATACAAATTTTCGTGGACAGCATACGATCGTTCGTGTCCCATCGAAACGTCAATCTCGAAAAGAAACGTTATTAGATATCAGGTCGCAGGAAGTTTAGATCGAACACCTTACGCGGCTAGTCGCGCATCCGAGTATACACGAATATATTATATACGTGTATACTTTCACGTGGCCGCGGACTTTAGTCGGAAGGTACTTAAGCGAGCCATACTATGGAATTATAATCGATAGCTAGGTATAATATATTCCCATGTTCGCCAGCCACACCGACCGCGAGTTTCTCACGCGTTTGATTTCCATCTTTCGAGGTTTCCTGGAACATGACGACCAATCGTTATCGACTTTTTAATATATCGCGTATTTAATTATCGATAAAGCTTGCAAGTTAGCGTTTTTCGAGCGAGGGGAAAGGGAAGAGAAAATTCATGCACGTTTCTCCACGTTTTCGTGGAAACGTGCTGGAAATTGTACTCGCGTTGCATCGTGAATCATTGCGCTATCGTTACGGATGATCGACAGGTAAAGTTGCCCAACCGTGAGTAATAATTGCACCTCGGTTAGAGTAACAACTAAATCTCGAGATCTGCGACGATACTGCAATCAACATTGTACACGTAGAATGTACAAGTTCCTAGACAACACTCGTGCTCAAGATTATCTACATGGCAGAACCATTAGCGTCCCTTAGCCAGCCGTGGTCCTAAAAATGTAACGATATTGGAAGATCTGGATCGCAAAGGGTTAGAAAGAGATCCATCTTCGTCTAGAAAAGATTTTACTTGGTTCTAATTTTGCTTCGCTCCGATTTTGTTTCCAGAGGCCACGTTCGAGCGATACGCGCACATGATACGGGCGTGATCGAAAAGCGAGATAAAAGAATCTGGATTCGATCGTCTGGATCTCGAATCCTTTCGAAGGGTTCCTTAACGAATGGAAAGAGGCGAAACGAAGGATGAGTAGGAGGAGCAGGACGAGGGGCGGATGGTCGGTGTATGTATATGCTTCTCTCGGCGCTACGAACTCTCTTAAGTCACGGATTTAACTGAGTTAAGACGCTCTTAAGGCTAGTAGAGGGTGTTAACCTTTTGCTCTCCCGCTAGCTCACCTGCGATAGCTACTTGCCAGCCAACGATACGCCATCATTTTCCGTAACGTTTCAATTTTATACGCGAATCAGCTTCTTCTTTACAGGAGTGGAATTCGGTTTCTGGATCGTTCTGTTTCCTTTCCTCTCGTTCAACTCTCTCGTTGAAGTTACTTGACCATCGATTCATGCATAAATGAATTGTTTTTCAATTTTTTTTTTTTTAAATTCACGTATGAATTCCTTCTACGGCTTTCGTCCGCGTAGTCTGTGAAATTTATTTTATTTTCTACCGATACACTAACGATGATATTTTAACGGTCCATTAAACTCCCAGATAAATATTGTTTATTAACCACGCGCAACCCTGTGGAGGTCTGGATTTCAATGCTTTCGATATCGTTATGAAACGAACGATATTTTTTCGATTTACTCGATCGTTAGTCTGAAAGAATACTTCTTTTCTTGTGGTTTGTTCTGTAACGTTACAGCATCATCTTGTTCCCGAAGGTTTCCCATGTGTTCCGTTAACGCATTACTGTAGCACTCGCGTAGGTAAATGCACTCGCACCGTTGTACGTGTATCTCTCCGTTTACGTACGTACCGAGATGCGTTTTAGATATATGTATACGCACACTTAATAGGATAATGCATCTTCCGCGTATACGTATCGATGCGGAATCGCGGCCGCCGCACTCACACGGACGCGAATAGCGTGTCGTGTGCGGGGTGTATTGCTCGAAGGTGGAAGGTGTGTTGAGGCCTGGCAACTGGACTCCCCTTGGGGCCCACATAAATCAGAAACTCAGGTTCAAGCATAGCCCGAAGCACGATGCCAGAAATTTAGATGCACTCGGTGTTCTCGAAATAGTTTCCTCTCGAAGAGGTTTATGGAGCTGAGAATTAGGACGAAGTTGCCGCAACGTTGTCCCTTTTGGATCCTCGTTGATATGCGCTTTTACAGCCAACCGTTCACAAACTTGCATGCAGATACGTTGTGAAAATTCGATTTACAATGCACCGTAAATAGAACCCATAGCACGACGCTGCTGTGTTTACTGTTTAGTATCAGCTGGGAAAGCAAAAGAAATTCGCTCGAGGATACTGAGCAGTGCTTGGTGAGCATTCAATGATTTGTTCTATCCTGTGCAATGGTCTGTATAACTTTATACAAAAACGAGGTGTATCGGGCAAGATTGGAGCGTGAGTATTTCCAGTTCGGCCGGTCGCAATGTTTCGTAAACACTGAAATCTCAGGATAACGTTGGAAGTGATACAAAGTCCTTTCCTCGACTCTAAAAATGCAAGTCCATGCACTTTGGATGCACCTTTCTATAAATAGCAATATAAATATAATACTTTGATTTAATTACTGTAATCAATGTTATACGAAATTTGTCTCGAGATAAGAGTTACGCTCATCCCAGTTTTGCTTGGACTGTTTACAGTTTTTTTTTTTCCGCTCTTTGCCCACGGACTTTCGATTTCGAAGGCAGCGAAGTGGACACGCGTGCGCGCGAAAGTGGCGAAGCGAAAGAAAAGAGTAAAGGGGCTAGGGGGAGAGTGAGAGAAAAAGTAAAGTAGAAGAGGAGTGAGAGAGGAAGAAAGGAGACCCGGAAGGACAGCTCATCTTCCGCGAATCGAGCGGGCCACTGACTCGTCTCCTGTGTTGCATAACGATTCCATCTCGTTCGAATGCATCTCTCGAGAGTCGCAACTTGAGAGCCACTGGACCGTGTACCGGTTGTTCCACTCGTGGAATGCGGACTAGCTCGTCGTATATGTGCACGCTTGTGTGCTCGTGTCCGCGTCCTATTCGTATTCCTTCTTACCTATACCGTACACGTGCCCTCCTGCTTATTGTACATGTATGAGAAGAGTTGATCCCTTCGGCAGGCTACGCGATTTCGCGATTATTGCCACTATCGTTTGTACCCGCGGCGTTTCCTAGGGAAAATTGTCTTTCGAATAATTTACAACTACCGTTGGTCGTCTCCTCGTTTCTTCCGTTGCCAGTCGAACGTAAACATATTTCATTCCCTTGGCCTTGGTCGGAAAACACGAGGAAAGGGTTAAACGAATCGACCAACAATTTTCAATAAGATAATGAAACCTCGACTGCCACTCCGATCGTACAATATACGCGTCGAGGTAGGGGAAAAAAATGCATGATCGTCGCGTCGACGAACCAATGCGCGAGTACGTTTATAAACAATCGAAGGAAGTCGTAGCGCATAAATATGTAAAGATCCGGACGGTTGCAGGCTCGCAGGGCCACTGTATGCAAATCCAGTTTACCGGTTGTGTAGTTACTTTACATGGAAGCACGCGGTATATTTGTTTTTTCGAAGTCGTCGCGTGGAAGGTGGGAGGAAGAATTTAGGAGGAATCGAGGATAGCCAGGTGCGGCTTCCAACGGTGTGGACAGGACATAAAATGACGAATTTAACGTCCCATGATATCCGATAGCGATTGGCCGCTCCAATGAATTTTCGAGCTTCCTTCGTGGTTAACAGGAAACATTTAAAAGACATGATTACGATTTGCGTAGAGCACTCGAATACATGGGAGTATTGGACGCGTATTTCGCGTTTATTTTATTTATATAAGCAACAAATTGCAGCTTTTCAATAGCATCTACAGGCAGCTGCGCGTTTGCCTTGCTCGTCTTTGAACTCCTTGGACGCGAACTCGTAATATCGTTAGACTTACGAGCGTGCAACTTACCGTTAGCTCTGCGATCCCACACATTCAAAGCGAGAGAACTTTTCCGCGAAAGTGGCGAGCAAAACGATAAAGAAACGCGCTCGAGGGGGAATCCTCGTTACGATGGCGATTGCTCTAGGAATTACTGCATTTTTTTTTTACGTAAAGTTTAAGGAATACAAGTGCGAACTTGTGCTGACACATTTATTCACCGTTGAGCATCGAAAAACATTTAAAGTTAGGGGGTTTATCGCATCCTTTTAGAGATTTTTATCCACCTGTCGACGCATAAGCCAGCTGCGCCTTGTTCAAACATTATCCCGTAAACGAGCGAATGATAAAAAGTTTAGAGTATTTTAACAAACGTAAAAGACCAGGTTTCGCCAACGGAAACATGGGTCGACTATCGAATTCTTTTTTAGTTCGCTCTAATGTTTCCTCGCGGGTTTCTTGTTGCAGAAAGTTCACGGAAACTTGAACGAGAGGAGGTGAATCACGCGTGGAGGAATTGTTCGAAAATGGCGGCGGGAACGTGTCAATTGGCCTGAAGAGAAATTCAGAGAGACGCAAGGTGAGTTACACCCCTTTGATTCCTCGATATTCGACGATAGCCACTCTGTTTGTTCCGTCTTTTATAAAATGTGTCTCCTTCGCCCTTGACCTAGGTGCGTACCAATATTTCACTCATTTTCTTTGCGGTATTTTTACTCATACGCCTTGGTTCCTCTCGCGAATGTAATTCTTCGAATATCGTCTTTGAATTCGAGGAAAACGTATAAATTCGCTCTTCCCCGAACGCGTGCTAGAAACTCGTAAAATGGAGACATCGTATCGGTGCGTTGAAGCATGCACGCTTCAAGATTCGTTGTCCGAAGGAGTCGGTGTGGCTCGTAAGTTCCGAACGGCGAACATCGGTAAGCCCTTCGCGATATGTATGGTCACCGTTTATCGGACTGCAGTAACTTACGCGTCACCCGTTATCTGACTGCGCTTATTATGCACGTTATCGTCTCCCTTCCGCTTCTACGAGGGAAAAGCCATAAATTTAATAGCCTCGGCACCGGTCCCAGTCGCAACCTCGGCTCTACGACGGGCTACCCTCTTTGAGCATGAAAACCGAAATCGATCTTCGGCAGAGATTCGGTTCGCTACTTCTTAAACGTTTCTCTTCCTCCTGCACGTGCTTCTTCGTTCTTTCTTACACATTTTTAAACGACTGCTAGTGTACTCGTTACTCGTTAAGATTCTTAATACATCGTCCAATAGTCGTCAAAGGCAAATCTCAGTAAAAGTATAAAAACAGCAGATCCCACTTTCACTTTGAGATACATGGAGAGTTTTCGTTTTTTTATCCTTCGCAAGCCTTGTCATACCTGGCGCGACGTTGGTCGACTTTCATCGGTCGCGTTGCCCAGGGAACGTGGCAAATTTGTCTTGACCGATAATAATGGATCCAGCGTGATCCTTAGTTTTTCCCTCGTCCTCGGAATGCCCACACTCCGTTTCTCCGACTAATCTTATCTAATGGAATGATTCGACCGTTTATCCGTCCAAGATCCTTGCGGTCTCCGGGGAAAAAGTCGAGCTTGGAGTTTCTAGGCGCGCGTCACGTTTTCGTTAGATAAAAAAAACAGACGGATCGTTACGTTGGAACGTCCTTTGCTCGCTTTTCACCGATAACCTTTTCGATAAATTCTCGCTATCTTGGATTATGTACGTTTAACGAGAATTCGAACCCGCCGTGGACGAATTGTCGGTATAATAAACTCGTGTATAGTTGGTGCCAAAAGAATTGGTGCTTCAATACGTGACGATGATGGTGAATTGAAAAATCGTTAAATTTGCAATCGCTACGCGATTTTTGCGGTATCATCGAACCAGAAGGTCGGTCGATGAATGAACGAAAAGAGACAGGGGCCTATTGACGATTCCAGAATACGCGCGCTGCAAAAAAGAACCTAGTCGAAGTCAGCACGGACGAATAAAGGCATTATTGTCGATTGTTCTTTCATTTTATGACGCTCGGTTGAGTTATTCGGCGTTTCCGGTAATCTGGAGACGCGAGCACTGTGCTTCATCGTTATTCCCAGCCCTCGTCGATTCACCTTCCCGATTTGTGAAACGATTCCACCTACGTCTCTGGCACGTGATGCGTTAACATAGAGGCTACGACGCGAGTCAAAGGAAAACAATAACGATCCTAAACGTTAACGATTTCAACGGTGCATCGGCACGATCGCGATTCCATTCTGGCAGAGATAAAACGTCTAGTCGAATGACGTCGACCTCTTTCCCGACGTGTCGTTATCGAAACGATTCGATTCCGTTCCTCGATTTCTCCTTTTGCTTCCTCCTTATTCCGCGTAAACAATCCTCCGCTGGTAATAACAATTTATCATTTCCCTCGTGACAAGCGTGATCGAGTAGACGGCGTGAAATTTTCCACTCGCGTCTTGCGACTCCGTATCCACGCTCGCCGGACTTGAATACACGCTCTCCCAGCTAGGTAATTACCACACCGACGATTCTTTTTTATCGTCCCCGGTGACTTTCTTTGCAGACTACAGGACTATAGGTTCTCTCGGACCGGCTATTCGTGAGAAATCGACGAAAGACTGGCGAAGAGGCTTTTCCCATAACGCGAAATGAACCGAGAGTATCTTTGCCCACCCTATGGCTCTTGCTATCGTCTCTACTTGCAAACATGGAGCAACAACGACAGCTATTAATTGAACATTTATATTCAACGTATTAGTTGAAACAGTAAATGCAGCTGGAAGCCGGAATTTACGCGCGTAGCAATCAGGAGCGACCCACGGATCGTTATCTTGGTCTTCGAGGACCGATTAGCCAACGGAGATCCGTATCTAACGACGACGAGGATAATGGTGATTAGGCATTTAATTACGTCGGATAATTAATCGTTGAACTAGTGTACAAATCTCGACACGTCGCGCGTAACCGCGATACGATTACACTTTGAACGGGGTTTTTCCCCCGCTTCGCACAATTCTGGGGTGACTCTAGAAACCGGAGCACGCTTCAGCTCTCTGCTGTAGTGTAACGAATACAGTTTCAAAAGTAACGACATTCCAATTTCAATTAATTAAAGTACACGTCGTTCGCGAATGCTTGGAAAACGAAGAGGATAGCTAATTAACGAAATATACGAATAGGTCGCGTCGAACACCTCGAAAGACCGCGGGTTCGCCGTCGTTGGTCTAAATGTTTAATCGAATGCGAATCGAGCGCCTACGGAGTCGTCGGTAGAAGAGACTCGAAGGAAAATATCGGGAAGAAAATTTCTGGTGTCGGTGGTGGTAAAGCTTAGGCGGTCTTCGAGATTCTCGGTAGAATCACCGGCCATTAGAATACCGTGCGGCCGTGAAGAAGAGGGTGATTCGAGGAAAGGCACCCGTTAATGGCTACGGCCCTTTTGCACGCTTAAATAAATAACTGCGCCGCCGCATCTCGGCTGTGTAATTACGCGCTCATATATACGCATACGTGTACGTACGTGTACGAGTAACGCGGCACGAGTGTGACTACGTGGTTGGCGTGCATTCTGCGAGTAATCGGTACAGAAAGAAAGGAAAAGGGCGGAGGAGCGGATAAGAGGTCTACGGTATGCCGTTTCTAAATTATAGCTTCAAAAAGACCAAGGATCGCGGATAAGAAAGGTTTCGATCGAAAGTGGCCGTTAGTCGTGGCTTGCATTCACGATCGTCGCGTCTCTCTCTGCCGTCGACTCTTTTCTTTTGCTAATAAGGAACATCGCTTCACCGTTCCACGTCGACTTTGACCAATGTTAACACCCTCTTGTTTCGAGAGAAAGGGAGGAAGAAAGGGACTGCCTTTGACCGAAAAATCTGTATCGAAAAGAAAAGACGCGTGCTCGCGACTCTTTCCACCGTCGGAATTATCGTGATAGCGATCGAGAGCCAAGTTGAGCTATGTACAATTATCGTTTGGAGGACAAGGGGAAAGGCAGCGGTTGAATCGAAACAGAAGGAGAGGGAAAGACGACGGAGAGAAGGGCCCAGGCTAGAAACGAGCAAAACGTCGAGGCCCTTCGTGACCATAATCGGCGGAGAGGCTGGCTTGGCTGGATGCGAGGATCGAGCCACACGGAAATCCACTTGAAAAGTAGCCATTACCTTAATTATCGGCCTTTCTAAGAGGCTATGTGCACGCTGCCCGAGACTTGGAACTCCGTGTCCGTCAGTCCGCCTGCCCGTTACGATCCTACCCAGGGAATTCCTCTTCGTGACATTTTTTCTGATCGTCTTGTGTGCCCAGCGAATGTCCCAAGTACATTCACCGATAAACATACATACGTACGTTTCATTGGATTTGGATTGGACAAAGTTACTTGGACGATCGTCGCTGGAAACAAGAAAAATGTTACGTTTACATTTTATTTCATCAACGAAGATAATGACCGTGTATACACGCGTGCAACGCTACGAGGATACAGGATTGAAAAAACAACCGGTTGTCGAGATAGCACCGCGAACATAAATATCGTCGTACGAGTATCTGGAGCAGCGATAACGACGATTCACGGTGCTGAAATCGAGAGATACAGTTTGGTTGAAACGATTCCGGTACGACTTCGGGAATTCTGGTAAACGCCACATTTCTGTGGAGAAGACGAGCTTGAACGCGACTATGATATTCGAGGATGAATGAATAAATAAACCAACACGTGCACCGTGACGGATCTTCGACTTCCGTCGAAGGAGTCGTCGAGGGACTGTACTAGTTTGGTTCGTGTAGAAATTTATAACTCGATCGGAACAAAGCGTCTAGACGTCTCCCGGTTGGTCGGTAAACGACGAAAGAAACGAACGAGGGAGTAAGGAAGAGGAGGATGGATGAAAGGGTGTAGGAGGACGATGAAGAAAATGTGCCGCGACCGGCAATCTGGTACAATGGATTTTGAAGAGTGTAATTTTCGTTGGTAACAATGGCTACACGGACGGTGCCGTATAATCTTACCGTCGGCATGGTTCTAATTTTCCGCGCGTCATGGGAATTTCTGACAAAGTCCTCCGAGTTAGCGAGTCCTTTCCTGCGAAAGATTGACCAAGCTTCACGATATCGTCAGGTTCCTTTCTCTCTTCTTCGTCGACACTTTTTCTACCCAGGAAGATTAGTAGCTAGCCATTAATTAGATTTAACGTATTCTGGAAACCGGCCCCAATATCGTATTTTTCATCGAGGTTGTAGCACGTGGTTCGTCGAAAGGCGCAACGGAAAGAAACAGATTTTTCCCTTCGATAGGAAGGATCTCTCCCTCTAGCGCGTATCGAAGCGTTTGCACGCATCGATCGAGATAAAGGTCGTTAAAATATGGTTTACGTAATCGCACGTTGCCTGAACGCTTCTCTATTCCGATCTTATCGCCCGTTCACGCTTCTTCTCCTTTCTTTTTCCGTTTAATCCCATGCAAGATTTTTGACTCGCGATAAACTCGATACGATCGTGGATCTCGTGGGAATAAATACTGGCCCGTGCTCGTAACGATACCTAAGCGAGACGAAAGTGTCCCTTTCATCGGCGCATCGTTTCCGTTTTCACGTTTACGAAACGGCTCTAGTGCCTCCAGGTAACGCGATGCTTGATGGAAGATCAATCTGCAAAAGGTGTAAACTTGTTGTCCAGTTGCGTAGCAACTGTTGCAAGTAATCGTCTCGATTATAAAGAATAATACAGAGTGTATCGGGCGCTGTTTCGTTCGGAAAACGATCGAAACAGCGCTGGGCTGAACAAAAAGGAGGAATTGTATACCGCAGGGGAGATTTCGATTTCAAAGACCCCGTCGGGAGAGCGTTCGATGCGAAGCAAACATGTTATTTTCTCGTTCATGGTGGTGGTGGTAGTGGCGGTTCGATATCTGATCGGTACCACCCGCTTCGATTGGTCCCGGCTGGATTTTAACCCATCCCACTACCGGAGCGCGGATCGCGTCGATCGACCAATCGGCATTTTGACCGATAACAGAAGCCATAATTAGCGCGATTTGTTAATGAGTCGAGGCGACCACGGCGACGTTTGAATGAAACGATGTCGTGAATGTTTTAGTCGTAGTCGCGCCCCGATGACGGATCCAGCGACGTTTCGCTTGGACGTCCTCGATCGAGTCGCGATTCCTCGATCTCCTCGCAGACTCGCGCGTTAGCGAGCTTCCTGGGATACTGTGCAACGAATTTTTATGGACTCTTTCTCGACTATCCTCTCCGTGCTTTTGGAACTTTGGAACATAGTACACTATGAACGATCGCGTCAACGGCGAGTCAAACTCTTGCACGAGACAACCGGCGCCATGCTACTCTCGATCCCTCCTATAAAAATATGTACAGTGAATCACACTCGACATCGTCCGCCATGTTTGACTTTTTCTAGTTCGCAAACTGTGATACACGCGTGTAGGTTACTTTCCTGTTAACGACTTTCAGTGTGAACAACTATAAAGAAAATCTTGAACGTTTTCATTCGATTAGCTGCGTTTTCGTCGATAAAAGTTACATCTGTCGAGGAGATTACATCCTCATCACGCAAGGTGAGCCGCGCAAATGGAAATAATCGAGAACATAGAAAATTCGTTTAGTACTTGAACGCGTTAAACTCTGCCGTAAAAATGCAAATTATCGCGAGCATCTCGCAGTATGCGCTCGACTCGTGCAGAAAACATAGTTTTCCTGTTTTTCTTGCTATTACTTATGTTTGTTTTATACTCGTTTAATCATTTTTACTATGCACGTGCCAGTTTGCTATATCCGGTAATTCCCTCTTCGTCCATTGTACATATACTAGTTTTATGAGCGTCGTTCGAGAATAATAAAGTTACGGTAAACAAGAGTATACGACAGATTTGGTATACGATGTATGTCGTTTCTCGTACAGAAATTATTTTCCTGTGTACGCGAGCACTCTTTTCGATGGCAGCTGAGAACGACGATCCTTTCGCGATCTCGCGTTTTTACATTCACAGAACGCAGACACGGGACATCTGGTTTCGGCTCGAAAGATCTATTTTAAATCGCGCGAGCAGCGACGTCGCGGAACAACGGACGGAATCTTTGCCGAAAACTTAACAACGTGCTCCAAACACTTGTTTGGAGTGTTTTCGAGATCTTGGAAAGCCACGGGTCGGTTACGACGGTAATTGGTTTCGCGCAAGCTCGAACGATTTTGCTTTATCTACGCGCGGTGCTAAAAAAACACGATAAACCGATCTTTCATCTTTCTCTTGATCATCTTCGTTTGTTCTCTGTTTGTTTTTTGTCCGAATTTACGTTAGGTTTTGTGAGTTAACCCTTCGTTGCGCAATGGTTTCTCCTTTCAAGGGAAAATAGGGCGTTAGAAAATTAAGATCGCGAAGGGAATCTGTAGGCAATGGTGGAAGCTCGTGGAAGGGTTGGGGTAGGTGATGGCGACTCCCAATGAAGCTAGTTTCTTTTCTCTGTTTGTCCGGGTAATCTCGTTAAACAAACGAAAGGTTAAATGCGGAACGTCGTTCGAGGCAAATGACCTTAACCTTTGGGGTAAGTCGGAGTAGAGGCTAGCTGCCCGTCCGACGACCGAATGCCACGGTTGTCCCGAGGTTTTATTGTTAATGCGATTAACGCAACGCAACGCGACCGAGTCCGAGTCCGAGTCCGAGTGCCAACAATGCCTGTCGCTGATCTTCGATCTTTCGATCCTGTAATCGGCTTTGTCATAACGCCTCGTAGATCGTGCGTTCAGATAAACACCAATTCGAATATTCGACCGTGAAAACGCCGCTCTACCTCATCGAAAGTTCCACGTCCGTCTGTCCTCGAACCATCGATTTCTTAACCCTTGACTACCAAATCGTTAAACATTTATTTTCGCGAACCTTGCCAAGTATCGTCGTCGTTACAAGATGAGCTGGCGTAATATCGGCTTTTATCGCGGTCTGCGAAGCTGGGCTTATCGCATCATTGCTTTCCACGATCCACGATACGAACGACTTATTATTGCAGTCGGAACGAATCGAATCTCGCGTAAATTCGAAATTGGAGGTTCAGCGCACCGATCGAGGCGTTTGTTTGTTTGTTCTGGTGGGCAGGATGGTGCTGGTGGTGAACGGGGTCCTGCAGGAGGACATTCCGACGGACAGCAGGTCCTTGTACGCGGCTCATCCGATATATCGTGAGACCGCTGCCCAACTTCACTCGATGCCAGCCAAGTTGGTCGGCCCGATGGGTCTTCTTTACGTCCAACAACGAGAAATGGCCGCTACCTTGCCACACGACAGTAAGTAGATGCATACGTATCCACCGACGTCGCGTACCGCGTGTCTTAACCTGAACATAAACGATCAAAAGAGAGGAACAGTGTGTTTCCGTATTTGAATACGTCCACTCGCTCGTATTGGTTATTATAATAAGTGTAACGTTGACGGAACGCGTTCTTACGTCTTCGTCCATTCTTGCAAAAAATATTGAACGGTATTAGCATTTATCTATGTATATCGCAGTATTGACGCAATACTTTTGCTAGAGTCTAAATCTCGGAATCGAAAAACAATCGTTACCATTAACGACAATCCAATTGACTCTTTATTTTTGGAGCCTAGACTATTTGTATCATCTTCTGACTTTCCGTTCTTCTATTTTTCAGAAAATGTAAGCATAATCGGCTCAGACGATATGACAACCTGCATAATCGTTGTAGTGAAGCATTCCGGTGAGCATCCTCCTAGGATAAGGTTCTGCAACTGCGATTAATGATCTCTGACATGAAATAAGCATACGTGTATGTGCGCAGGTTCGGGGGCTGCGGCATTTGCTCATCTGGACGGGGCTGGAACAGAGGAAGCCGCCGCGGCGATGGTCCAAAGGGTAACCGAGTTAGCTCTTGGATACCCAGAGGGTCGTCTGGAGCTTCAACTCGTCGGTGGTTATTCCGATCCGAGGAACTATTCCGAAGAACTCTTCTGCAATATTCTCTGTGAGTTCTCGATTGATCGAGACACGTACGTTCTTTAACGAAGACAACGCGAAGAAAGAACAAGGAACATCGACGATACGGTTTTTCTTTTTTTTTTACAGCTGCCTTTCACAAGCAACCGGTGGAGATCGACCTGACCCTTTGTTGCGTGGGTGAGCTGAACACCACCGTAAGAGGTGGTATCCATTGGCCAGTGATCTACGGCATCGGGTTGAACGTAAAAACGGGGGAAATTTTTCCGGCTACCTTCCCCGATAAAGGTCCTGATCAGGCGCTAAGAGGCGCCAGACAATTGACTGGTGGTCAACAGGTGTGTATCGATCCCATAAGCAGCGATCCTTAATCTTTTTAGAATACTAAAAATACAAAAAAGTATTATCATTGCGTATACAGGTCTTGGACGTTTACGACTGCACCCTCGGACTGCTCAGAATCGGTCCGTTCAACTACGATCCTCTCCGAGGAGTCGATCTTTGGTTAGCCCAATCCGATCAATTTATCCTGCAGCACCTCTCGACCTCCCCAGAGGTGGAACCTCCGCATTTTGTGTCGCAGGTAACGTACGCGTGGCCTTGGAATTGTTTAGGTTACGCGAGATCAAATAGTAGAAAGGGAATTAATTTATCATTCCAGGTTCGGGCGACGCTCAAGTACATACAGGACAATCAATTTCCGGCCGTCACCGTCTTCCGAGATAACAGACCTCATTACTATCGTCGAGACGAAGCCACCGGTGTTTGGCAGCCTATAAGATACTAAATAATGCATTTCGGCTGTCCTTTCGCTTGTGGACTGGCGTAAAGAGGAAAGACAAAAGCAGTTTGCGAAATTCCCCTGGTGATAGAAAATCCAAAAATAGAATCGCGAGCCGACGAAGAATCACCGTAATAAAGCGGACGTACCACGGTTCCGCGCATGTCTCGCATTTTATCTTATCCACCATTGCTCGTGAAGCGTCTTTTTCGGATCACGTATTTATTATTCCCGAAGCGTGGATACTACTATCGCACGAAGCGATTCACGCACAATCTATCGTGTCTACGAATTCTTCGCCAAACTTTCGTTCTGTTTCGGTGAGCAAAGGTGTTTCGTCATGTTCCAAGTCGTTGTTGTTTCATTTAACGATAAGAGGAACAACGACGAGAACATATGCCTTTGTCGATTCGCGATTGTCTGAAAACAACGAAAAGAAACGCGTTCGAACCATCGTCGTTAGAGTAATAGTATCTGCGAACGATCAATATTAGGAACGGTAATTTAAGGGTTAGCAATCGGCGGTTGTTGAGTTTCATTTACTTTATTATATTTTCTGACTCTACTTCCTTTTCGTCTCTCTTTTAACATATTTTTTACTACTACGTACGCGAGCTGCGATTGCAAGAGTCTTATTGTCTCGACTTACTACACGTCTCGAGTTAATTGTGTATTCTTATCGTTGAATATTCACTTTGTCGTGATGTTCTTAACGCGTTCGCGAATGTCATTTTTGTCAATGTATATAACGCGGGGTTTGTTTTTACTTTGAAAGGAATAGTTTGCAGAGTACTCGCCGCAGCTCGTTCGAAAGTATATATTTTATGTGAATCGTTATTGATCCTCGATACGTTTCCTTCGAGATCAAGATTTGTTTCAAACGATGAGTAAGTCATCCGTAAAACTGCGATATTATGTGTCTTTTGTTTCTTTCTTCTTCTCCTAGTTGGATTAGGGAAGTTCGCGCAGCAACGAACATTCCGTACTTGCCATAAAAGAAAGGAAAGTTAGAGAAATTAGGGAGCGATGTAAATAATTATTTCAAGATCACACGCGAATCTTGCGGGGAAAAGAGAGGAAGCTTCTTCTGTTACATCGGAGTGTTTCCAAGAAGCATGAAGCGCCCTTTTCATTTCAATGTAAAATGGAATTCGAGCTTTCTATTGTCTCCGTGTAACTCTGTTACGAGAACGCTTTGGTAGAAGCGACTTTAATCGAAATATACATAATGTTGAGGAAAAGAAATAAATGAAGAAATTGGGCTGTTTCTAACCTATAGAAGACAGTACATTGTCGTGCAAAGGAAGTAAAACATTCATCATTTTACATTGTTCTAGCGATATACGAACTAGCTAAAGTCAATTTAATCTATAGTAATATCTTCTAGAAATCGAAGAGGTATATATATTGTTGTTTTTATTATTATAAACGGATCGCGCATCGCGAGCTTTTTAAATACAAGTACGGTGTACAGAAAAGAGTGAAAATTACATTAAGGTGAATATTGGTATTGGATAGCTTTTCGTATATCGGTATGGAATAATGGTAAAGAGTATATATATATATATACTGTGTTATATAAGTAGCGAAAAGCATCCATGACGATCGTAATGACAACGATGACGTTATCGATAGTCTCTTTGTTGACGCCGATGGCGATAAGGTAGGAAAGTTTATAAACCCTGAATAGGAAAACTGTTGCAATGACAGATTATCGCGATCTTTAATATTTTCTTCAAGAGTGTACCATACACCACGTTCGTACTTACATTACGAGAATTTTTCAGAGTGATAACGATGCAGTTAAAAATCTTTCAACTTTATACCTTGCGTCTCGGTTTGTTTTCTCTTCTTGTCACGCTTTTACGTTCGATCTCTTTCGCTCTGTTTTTTTTTTTTTTTTTGTTACGCGGAAACGATCTTTTCACAACATTATTTGGTGATATATATATTTATGCAATAAACGATAGATCGAAAAACTTTCGTAGCACTTTTTTGATTGGTTCGACGAAGAAATAAATCTTATTTTTGCCGTGAGTGCATGTTCCGTGTTCGTTTCGAAATTCCATTGTTGTTCCTCAAAGGCAAACTATGTTCAGCCCGACTATTTGAACTTTGAGATGAATATGTATATCGTTAAAATTTGAGTATATCATAGTTTGCCACAGAGATACAGGTTATGCGGTAGCAATAAAAGAAAATATTCCATTGCGTGCTTGGTTCCCATGCAAATGTCCTATCGAGATCTTGATCATTTTCATGTAATTTTCATCATACTTCATTTTAGATTTCACCGCTAATAGCCCTGACGTTTTATTCCTGTCTGAATTGATAACGTTAGGAGTGATAGTTGATTCGACTCTCATAAGGTAAATTTTGCAATAGAATCTGGACATCATGTTTGTAAAGAACCTGTAGATGCATTCCTATTGCAAAGATGACCAATTGGATTACTTTCGAACACGAAAAACAACGATGTGTTCGAAGGTAATCGATCTGGTTATCCTTGTTCTAATTCGATACGAAGTTTAATCATTTACCGACATTTTGGCGTTATCTAGAGGCAAAAATGGGAACTGCTTTGCTCGAAGCTTGAGCATTTTGCCACGGAGGTCGCTATCTGTCTTACTCGAGTTTTGAGAACAGTTTGATCATTGTGTTGCAATCCCACTTAATTGGACATTTCCCTCGTAAGTTAATTATTCATCCAGAGATAACTATTATTTATTAAATATATACAGTCATGCTCTCGTATTATACGCAATAGATGTGGTTCCCGCCAAATAACGTTCGCGAATGCACATCTCGTTGAACTTTGACAACAAAGTCAAACGTTCCGAATAATGGAAACCATTAACGATAATTAATGACGAATCTTTAGAGAAACGTTTTGCATTAATACCTACTAAAGTAAAGTATAAATGAAACGTAAATGGTCTGGAGTAGGTATATAAGAAAACTCTAAATTCCAGTCATCATTTTTCTTCCATATCCTCTCGTTAATGGAGCTTTCCTCCTTCGGAAATTCCCGCCTTTTTCAATCTACATTGCTTTTAACCTCACCACTCGATCTTTTATCCACCAATGCTTCGTATAATACCTCTTTCTGCTATTTTCTCTTGATTTATTTTTACTTTGCCTTTAATATGTGTTGGTGCAAATACAATTTCGTTTATTATATACGTCACAGTGTATGGTTAAGGTTAGATTTAAGAACAGCCAAAGGTTGTACCTTGCTCGAAAATCAAAAGCTCTCGATACAAGTAAGTACTGACTGCGTGTTTTGTGGCAGGTAACAGTATTTGCTGGGAAGATGGGTGCATCATCGCGGCGCAAAAATCGTGATCGTTTGAATTCAAGAATCATGGCGAAGGTAAGACTAACGATAAGTTTCGTTTGGAAAGGAGAACGACAACGTTCCTCTTTCCAGCCACGATCTTCCGTATTATCAGAATAAATAACGTTGCGTTGAAGATTGGTCGACGCGTGTCACCGGAGTAAAAAATTAATATTTAGTTTTGTGTACGTAAGTGGTGGGGATAGAAAGATAGACGGCGCTACCGTCGACACGGGGTTCCGGGGGTAGAATCTGCCACTGATTCAGTTGGATTCAGTGCCGTTTCGACAGCGACTAGAGGCGATAGCTGTTTGCGTTCGTCCTGTGTCCTGGTGTCACACGCTGTCGAAACGTTTATCCCGTGTCGCATTATCGCCTAACACCTGTCGGTAGTTGAACTCGGTGAGTGGTATTTTTGCCATATTTCCCGTTAATTTGCCAATAACTCTAAGTCTTTCAGTTACATGGATCAGTAAACGGTTGTGCCCTTATTTGTATCCTTATACATATATTATATGTATACTTGGATATGAAATAAAGTTCCCTCTTTTTTTATTCTTCCACTTAGATTGAAGTACATCTGGAGTACTAATTAATAATATTCTAGTATTATCTAGTACAAATACAATAGGTTCTCTTCCATTAGATAGATATTTTTGTTCCATTTCACTGAAAAGAACCCAAACATCACAAAGTAGAAACGTTTCAAATACATTCACAACGCGTTTTCTAAAGCGTGACGTCTTCTTCGAGATCAATTATTTGTCCCAGTACGAATCAAAAAGTCCTTTCCCATTTTGTAATGCAAGGCTGTGTTATCGAGATATAAATATTTAAACGAGGAAATGGACGCGCAGCCGCATGGTCAGCTGGTTGGAATGTAAATGATGTTCGCCAAAAGTCTCACGAACAAACTTTAATTAATTATATCTACATATACAACGAATTACATATATGTATAACGATTTCAAATTCTGAAATGGTAAATGATTCTTCGATTTCTTTTTACGGACAGAATTGACTCTGAAGAAAAATTCCACAAATTGATACTTACTCGAAATAAATCCTTGGGCGAATTTACATCTCACAGGAAATTAATTAATAGTAAACCTAGACAGCGTAGTATACCGAGGATAGTGGCGAATTAAAAGATATCTAGGGATCGCGTTCACGGTTGTTACATCGTCGGTAGAGAAAATCATCTTTTCGAACGGCCTCGCGCCAAGTACACGGAATGACTTTAATCCTGGAGGTTTATCGCGGTCGGTGCCTCGAGGGGTGTGCGGTTTTCCGTCTGCTTCTAAGGTCGAACGTTTTCTCGAGAAGACGGTTTCCTTTCGTTACGAGAATCCTCAACTTTCCGAGATATTGCGCTTTCTCCTCGTAACTACTCGCTTCCCTCGTTTCCTTCGCCTCCAGCTTCTTTTTCGCTTTGTCTTTTTATTTCTCCGTCGTTGCTCTCTCACAGCTCCATTCTTATTTCGCTCGCATTCTCTCCCTTCCGGGTCATGAATTTTCTTCTCACGGATCACTATACGCGTTGCACGCGTTTGCATCCCTAAGCTATGTTTCACGACGTCGTTTCAACACTTAACACTTTGTGGTTGCGTTTCATAAAAGGTCCCTGTATTTCTGTTCGTGCTCATGTATTCTTCAAGGTACAAGCAACCAAAACTTGCATCCATTTCATAGATATTACAAATCGACACACTAACTTTTTTACCTTTTTGTAATTATTAGCTCTGGCGTTCTTGTGATCGTCAAAACGAACACAAAACGTTATTAAAAATCCACCGACTCTTCACGCAACGGGAAGAAGTTTGCCTTTCGCAGAAACGCAACAGCTGCGAGAAAAGTTTTTCTCGCGGAATCAGAGTTGAAAGCCGGCGCTACGTCTTGTTAAATCGAATCGAATTTCCCGCCTATACTGGAAAACAAGCCTTCTCTCGTTAAACTACTTTCTCCCCTCGGTACAGCGACTCTAGATCGAAGTACATAGACACTGTGCGAAACTTGTTGCGAAGCTGAATTTTCCATTCATTTCTATTGAGTTGTGACACACATACAACGTGCAAAGAGTTCGATAGTTATCGTTGCATGAATAAATTTTCTCAGCCCACAAAAGTGGGGAAAGGTTTTAGAAAGAAAACTTTTTATTGAATAACGTTGCAAAATCCTTATTGCACGCTTACAGATGAAACTTTCACGATGCAAACGAGACGTGAAATAGATTTTGCTATTATTCGTTACCCTTAGCGAGATCAGAATGAAAAGTAATAATTAATGGTAATGAGCTACCGACGACGGAAACCTTTTTAACGAATGCTTCTAATAGAAATGTAATACTACGAGAAGCTTTTTTTATTCCATTACATGGTACGGTCCTTTCTTCTTCTGAAAGCTTGCAGACTCCCGTTGCAATGCGCGGTTAACGCGTCTGGCCAGACGCTTCTACTTGCGGTGCTGTTTGAAACTATTGACGGTACTATGGCATTAACTCTTTAAACATGTTGGAACGATTCGGGAGATATTAACGCAAGCGAGAAAAGAGAAAAACCCGCAAAGTAGGAAATAACGAATAATGGTTGTATTGTCTTCGAAAAGTAAAAAATAAATCTTCAAAAGGTGATTTCTGTTTTCGGTTCGACTCGTGCGAATTAAACTCGTTGTATGATATTTCGAGGCTCGACATTTTGCGTGTACGTATATTAGCAGAGCATCGATCGCAAACGAAATAAAAACAACGATTATAAAATGACTTCGTTAAATCGAAGCAGAGTTCATTATATGGGAATCGTATAAGCGTAACTTTCCGCGTTACGCGCCGTCTCGTTTCGTGCGATAATTGAATCCGAGCTAGCAATGGGGCGGTCAATGTTGCTGCGCGATGAAAGTTGATGAAAAACCTTCGAAATGCACGATAGCCTTGAACTTTGAAAGTTTCAAATGTCGCGTAGAATATTACAGCCTCGAAGGATGTCGAGAGTTTCCGGTTTCCTATTCGAGAACTCTTCGGACATTTTCGTCGAGGCAAATCTCAGCACTTCTTACGTTTCTTTAGTTAGTTTCAATGGTTGCTACTGAAGGTTCGTTTTGCAGGGATTAACATCTTTGTAAGCTGCTGGATATCGTAACGTAGGTGGACTTTTGAAACCTTTCGCGACAACTTCTTTTTATTTTACATTATATTCGTGAAATAGTTTTCAGGATAAAAACGGTGTATTAGAGACGGTGTAAAGAAATATTCTTATCGGATCGATGAAAAAATTAGCATAAGAAAAGCAAAAGTCAATGATTTCCAACAGGCACGAAGCGAAGAATAAAATGTTGAGACGGGTGCTGTTCTCCATAGTTGTCCGACCATAACGCGACAATTCCACTGATGGGACACTCCGGACCGTGTAGCGACGGGGCGTTTCAGTTGAAGCAACAAGCGAGACTTTGTTCGGTTAGCGCTGGATAAAAAAGTAATTGAATCGACAATTACATTAGATTATTAATGGATAAATGCAATTGGCCATTAACCTCATTGATTCCAGTAGTCATAGCTGATCGTAATTGTTGCAATTCAATTAAACACGTTCGTCTATCGCCAACTCTAGGGAAAGATTAGCCAATTTTTGATTGATTAATTTGGTAGTTGGTTCGGGATGTTGGTACACAATCATCGCCAGTGTGAACTCGCTTGGGCCATAACCGCAGCCTAATATCTCGTGCAGGTTAACCTCACCGGGAAGTCCGGTTACACAGAGCTGGATTTGGAAGAAGAACTCTGCAAACGCGCAATCGATAGAATGGTGTCGAGTTCCCTCCATTCGAGTATCGGCGGTTTCCCTTTGCCCTACCCGACAGTGTCGTTCGTTTGGATTGA